TGAACGTTTTAAGGTCGAAAAAAAGCATTTGAAAATTGACAAAAATATTGCCATATTCAAAATGCTCATAGTGGCCAACAAGATGCCGATGACGAAAATAACATCACTTGAAAAACGCCAATTTATTTATGTTTAAAAGCGACTAAAACAAGGACTAAAAGCTCAGGATCAATAACAATACCTGGGGTTTAGTACAACATAAGTTTTGGGACTGTCAAAATGTTTTATAGTATATATTTTTAAGTTGAACGGCGAGATTTCCTTCGGCACATCCAAACTTTTGTCATTTTTTCAAAATACAAAAGCAAAATTCCTTACTTTTTGCTGCAGAGAGATGTAAAACAGTCGGAACTAATCGGAAAGTTGGTTTAAATCCCAAGTCATTGTTGTATTCCCATGGGAAAAGTGTTTTTCTTGCAAATTTTTGCTCGAAAACAAACTTTTGACAGAATTTTTTTCACTCCTCGAAACTCTCCTTAGTCCTTTTGAAAGCTGATTTTCCCGCGCGCCGGCTTCAACGAATCATAGACTTTCATCATAGGAGTTAGCCTTCCAGTTAATCTTCCAGTTATTACTAGAAAATACATGCATGCAGAAACCCTCGCCTTGCAGACAAAACTATTTTATTTTCCGAACGTGAAGTATTTTAAGTTGTTGTCATGGTAACACGATAATTTTTTAAGAATATTTTTACAAATGAAATATTAATTACAAAATTATCAATTTCCTAAACATATATATGTTAGGTATGTTATTATACGTAATATAAGCTTGAATTTAAGGTAAAATTCAACCACAAACGCTTCGCAAAACGTTTTAAAATGTTCTTTTACTATAGAACAAAACTGCCTTTATCGATAAACTTTGAGTTCGAAATAAAATGATTCCAAATTCTCCCATGCAAATAACTTTGCTTAGTATAATAAAAAGTGTAATCAATAAAGAAACACTGAAATAATACGCTGTCTTGTTTCATATTTTATATACGCAACGATCGGCTTTTAAAGTAATTACAGCCGAGATTACAGTATATTAAAAGCAAACAATGCATCGATATTTAAAACAAACTTACCTTCGTTAACGTCTGCACCTTTACTTCCTTCTTTTAGCAATCCTCTTGCCTTTATTTCATCAAAAATCCTTTGCAATTTACAAAATCTTGCACAAATGAAATATATTTGCAAGAAATCATTAAATCAATTTCGCTGTCGTCAATCGTCATGCAGCCGTTATAATCCCAATTTTAAATTGGACCAATCAGTGTTGGCTATTCATTACAGTCCGTTATATTATGAGATCAGTGAGGATGACCACCCACCGAAACCACTGAGCTGTATACTGAGCTGTATATATCGCTCCTATACTTCGTTCAGTCAACGAAGTGAAGCCAAAAACATGGCGGATTTTGAGTGAAAATGACGCCATTTCCATGACAACACTTCCGAAATCCTCATGGTAGTTACCACTGACCAGGCTCAATTCTGAGCCCACGGCCGTTTTCACCCCCCCCTGGTTTTTGCAAAAAATTTGCAGATAATATAGTTCTTGTTGTTTTGAATCGGTTTTTAAAAAATTTTTTCGATATAAATTTTCTACCTTTGACCATTTGGACAAAGATATGCAAGTCGTACGTGTTATTCTCGCCCATGAAAGACGACAAGCAAATTTTAAAACCTCAAGAAATGTGGGAAAAAGACGAGACTTGAATATGGATTTTAATATACAAAGGTCAAGAGGCGTATTTTCATATTCAATTTTATTTACACTTTATCTTATTTGACATGAAATAATAAGTATAACGATGAAAATGACACTCTATTTGTTAAGGAAACAGCTTCCTACAGTGCAATACACATGGGAAAGTGTAAAATTTCCCACTACTTTAGCAAGCTGTGATTCACAATCGCAAATATTTGGTTACAACCTACGATGCTTATTAGTCTTATTAAAATTATATTCAGTCACATATACGAGTATTAATACGACGGTCTTTAAAGTGCGAACTGTCTTGTGTAATAATGTTAAAAACTCTGAGGTCTCGTTTTATAAATAGACATAAACAATGATCATGTACCACAGACTATCTTTTTGAAAGAGGGATTAATTAGGTTTTGTGTTATGTACCAACTTATGTACAGTATAAGCTGGAGGTGCTAGCTTTCTGGTTGGGATACTTCTTGATATTTGTGTCATTATAGAGGCTTGAGATAAATCACACTTTTCCCTAAGCCGAGGTTTAGCTGAGGTGTGTGCCAATTTTTTTTAATTTTGCCCAAATTACATAGTTATTTACATTTATTTCCTTTTGAGATAATGCATGCATGTGTGTCACACCTCATTTCCAGGATGCACTGTTTTCTTACAGGTTTTCTCAGTAAATGGCTTATTGCATTTTTTATCCGTACACCCCCTGTTGAGGACACACAGCGTAAATTCTCCTACCCCCCCGGATTTCCAAGTAATTTTTTTGTCAGAAGCCCTGGAAAAATGTGGTTTGTAGAAGGGGGTGCCTGGAATTCCAATTGTTTTTAATCAATGACACTGGAATTCCAGGTTGTTTTGACCCCCACCCACTGGAATTCCAGGGTTAAATATAAAAGGCATCCCCTGGATTTCCAAGGTCCTCAACAGGGGTTGTACAGATAAAAAATGCAATATGCCAATATCACTATGAATAAACAATGTACCTACATAAGCGCACTCATAGTTCTGATTTAAGCTGAGGAGTTAGGCCACATTCGTTTATTTACCTTGGTCATATGCTAAGTTATGTTACCTGGATAATTGTACAATCTCATTAAAAATTAATCTATTCTTGTTTATTGCAGATTTAATCCATAATGACACACTCTCCTTTCTCGGTGGCAAAACACAGTATCAAGCCACATCTTTGGAAACTGAGCCAGAGACTGATTTTCATATTTTCGTTTGGGGGTGGATTAATCTGGGGGGGGGGGTTGCTGCTGCTTGCTTTGGCTGGGGCCTGGTGGCAATGCCCAGAAAGGCCAAGGAAAAAGTTTAACAAAATTTGTTTTCTAGACCTGGGGCCGGTTGTTCAAAGGTGGGTTAGCACTAACTCTGGGTTAAAATTTAATCTGCTGTTTTAGTTCATGTATTTGTGCAAGTCTGTTTATTTCAAAACTTCAGAAAAGAGAACTCCTATTGATCCTGACAAGATTTCTGAAGAACTATTTCCAAATTTATAAACAAGCTGTCAGGAAGTTTGCTTTGAATTTTGTTAACCCAGGGTTAAACTAACCCAGCATTCAGTGAACAACTGGCCCCTGCATGGCAAGATCGGAGACCATAATATTGGTAATTTTACAAATTTAGTAGTAAGAATAATCAAATATGAAACTATCAAATCAAAATATATATAATTTGCAGGGGTGCAAAAACTTTTAGGGGCATTGCCAAATGCCTCTTGGGGGGGGGGGGGTGCACCTCCCCAGAAAATCTGTGCCTGAACTGAACATACAATTAAAGATTGATTAATTTTAAACAACTGTATTTTAATTAATACATGCTTCCAGAAAGTACATCATCTTGGTTATAGGCTGTAGAGTCTCATTTTCATGATTGAGACATGTCAAATACACAAAAACGAGGCTTCATAGTCAAAGTGGCATACTTTCTGGAAGGATGTACAGTATTTGACTTTTTTATAGCCTCTATTAACTAGCAGTAAACAATTAAAAAATGTATAATTTTAATTCTTCCTAATTTAGTGGAGCATGATTGTGCTCTGTTGTAAAAATTTACACTTCAATAAAGTTATTATAATCATATAATTATTTATTATGTTGTTATGGTATTATAATTATAACTTCATTTTGATGTTCTGCATGTTGATGCCTGTGCCATCTCTTGTGTTGCATTAAACAGATAATTTCTGCAAAATAAAAGATGACATTATTATCATGATACATTTACATACATCTTTATACACCATGAAAATGAAAAATATCATATGCATGTATATAGAGGATATTACACAGCAGCGTGAAGATATGATTTTTATCTTCGAGTGGTGAAAACAATATTTTACGAACGAGCACAGCAAGTGAGTAAAATATTGTTTTTAACACGAGAAGACAAAAGTCATATCTTCAACCCACCATGTAATGTTCTGTTTATTATATAGTCCCAAGCAAAAAATTGTGAAATTGGAAAAAGTCATGTGATCAATACTTAATCAATTCATGCACTAGTGAAGATATGGAAAATATTTCAATGTGTGTTTTTCAGTATCTCGCTCTCTACTATATAATAAATACACATATATTAACCCTTCAAGTGGCAATGTGTCTTACTGTATTAGTAGTATTACTGTATTATTTTACAGTCCAATGTCAGACAATTTTACTAGTCAAGGGGAGAGCATGCTGCCACTATGGTGCAATATATGATCTGTTTTTACCAAAACCATAATGATCCCGAGCTTCAAAATGAAGTGTCATGTTTCCATATTCAGGAATGGAATTCTATTATTAGCAAATTTCATCATAGTTTCTCACAGACCAATCAGACATCACCTCTTCCAATGTTAAAAATGTTGTACGTAGCATATTCTGAATTAATTACCTAGTTATATAGTGCATCAATAGTGATCACTTATCCCAACAGCTTGTGGGCAACATTTTTTTTCTAATATTGCCATGTAACTATCACATCATACTGTGTATGTGGTTCTGAACAGACAATGGCAAAGTGAGTATCTATTTTCTACCCCTACCAAGACTCTTCCCTTTGAGTAAAATAAGAATGCCTGGGTTCATTTGGGCACATTGCTGCTTAATGGGCTGACTATATCTCAGGGGCTGCATGCTCATTGGCAAATAGTATATTTAACCCACTGAGTGACAGCAGTGAGCAGTCTCCCCTTAAAATTTCTGGCATTACATAGACAGTGTAAAACAAAAAAAGATGGTCTCTAGGGCTCATCAGGACAGGCATATATTGACACACGTAGGTGGGCCTCCTCTACTCAAATATTTCTGGTCTCGTGATTTTGTGCTTGTCTATATATATTAATCCTGCACTATATGATGGGCAAGTATAAAAGTTTCGCACCATATAAACATGTAAAAACAACCCCAATATAAATTACAAGTACTAAAAACTAGCAGTCTGGCAATAAAACCACAAAGACCAGTGCTGACACAAAACAACATAATTTCATGCACACAGTATCTACTCATTAACAATATTTGTATGTTTGCTATTGAAATATTTGCTGTATATATTAGGATGATGAGTTTTTGACATATGAGAATATTTATATATCTGGAGTGATATGACAATGCAAGTCCGTGAAGTCCCTAGAAAGTTAAAAAAAGTTTCTTGAATCTTACCTGAAAGAATTAGTCTTTCTTTGCAGTGAAGTTCGGCATCCACAAGCGAAGCAAACCCGCATCCTTCCTCCGCGTTTTAAAACAAGTAATGTGCGATGGAAATATTAAGATTTTTTAGCTCAAAAAAAACAGAAAACTTGAAATATCTTTAATATTTCTGTGCAAAACCCAGGGGGGTTAAGGACATCGTCGGAAGCTTAGGATCGCGGTTGGTCAGTGGCAGTTACCATGAAAATTTCGGAAGTGTACGTTGTCATGGCAATGGCGTAAGATCCGCCATGTTTTCGGCTTCACTTGTTGATGCCGAGCAGGTCCTCCAGTAATATAGTATAGCTCAGTGAGTAGAACCAGAAGGGACACTCCTTTGATGTTAGGCGGTAGCGCCGACATAGGCCTGCATACACTCGCGAGAGAGCGGCGGCCATGTTCTTAGGTAGTATACACTGAGCTTTACTAAATTACTGGAGGAGGTGCTCCTATCGAGTGTATCTAAAAGTCGAGTGTCGAGAGTCGAGAGTATAGGTCGAGAGTCGAGAGTAAAAGTCGAGAGTCGAGAGTAAAAGTCGAGAGTCGAGAGTAAAAGTCGAGAGTCGAGAGTAAAAAGTCGAGAGTCGAGAGTAAAAAGTCGAGAGTCGAGAGTAAAAAGTCGAGAGTCGATCGAGAGTAAAAACTCGAGAGTCGATCGAAAGTAAAAAGTCGAGAGTCGGCAAATGTCATCAGAAACAACAAAATCAAAATATTTTTATTTTTTAACCACGTTTAACACAATCTATATATAGCTTTACATAGCCATTCCGTAACAAGTACCAACGGCTGAAATGCAAACTTTCAAATAAATATTGCTACAACAGTCGATAATCAGTGGTGGAAATTCACTTTTTCCGGTGGGGGAGCAAAGCCTCCTAAATTTCCGACAAAACTTTGAAATTTCCGACGTATCCACCATTTGCACTCGAAAAGACTGTTTTAGCCCTCTTTTAGATCAAAATTTCCGAAAATTCGTCAATTTCCCGGAAGGTGGAGGGGGCGGCCGCCCCCCCCCCTTCCCCCCACCAAGATTTCCGCCACTGTCAATAATAATAACGTGATAACAAAAACAAAAAAGATTGGATAAGAGAATAATATCGCATTTGATGCCTCAATCTTGCTAAATGTTTTCACATGTCATTTCATTCTAACTGACACATAAACTCTGCTGAATTTTGACAACCATCTCCAGGCTTGTAACTAAAATGTCACTTATTCATTAACGTACGTTTATATCAAACGAGATCGTATTAAGAAATCCACGTTGATCACAATCTAACGATTCATACAATTGTGAATTCATAGATACGAGCAAGTAAAAATAGCATTCTTTTGTCGTATGTGTGACTCTATCGGGTGGTAATATGTCTCGCACGTGATTGTAAGGCCACTCCAAATTAACTTTAGTTTCCCGTCCTCCGCCCGCGTCTCTTAGAACTGGCCGCATGATTTGTCCATTATTGCTAACTTGTTTCCATTATTTGACTTTTGTGACAAACAATTACGAAAAACCACCGTTTTCAAATAATCTATCGTTCAAGAAATACATATTTATGATACAACACGTAAAAATCGAAATAAAATTCTTTAAACTTTTATCAAAGACCGTGAATTTTTTCCCGCTTTCACTACGAACTGCTGAGCGTCAATAGAACTTTGAACGTTAAAACCGATAAGGTTGATATCCTGGCTTTCATTTCTGCATAGAAAAACTCTAAAACATTGCGTAGAAACGTGACTGAATGGATGTTGAAAACGAGTATCTATTTCATGAAATAATGGGCCGTGTTTCATCTTTCAGACACCATAATAGTCCATCACCTAGAAGCCGAAAATTTGAGTCTAATACTCATCTTAGGGGAACAAACGAAACTGATCGCATATGAAAGCTTAGCGTTTTAGCTTTCAAAAAATGTCTTGGCGGACGTTCAGAACGGTAGCTTTCCTATAGAATTTCGACTTTGAAGTGACGTACTTCGAAGCAGTGAACGGCCGCCATTTTGTCTCTCAGAGAAAATCCCGCCTAAAGAATATTCAGACATAAACAACCCAAAAGGTGTTAAATAAAGGTCTCACCTCAAAGACTTGTAGCTGCATGCTTTATACATCTTTTGATTTACTTAGAACTCTTTAATTGATCATTTCTTTAAGGTTTTCAGATACTTTCTCACTCCCATCAAGTAGCGATTGTAGCGTAGTTTAATAACTTTAAAGTCTCGTAGTTATTGTCAACAATTCCGAATTGATTTAAAACTTTGTAATTAGAAGTGAACAAATTATACGGACCATATATAAAACCTTGTCTTTTAAGCTTTCAAAAATATCTAAGCAGTTTGTCTGGGTGTTAATAGCTTTCCAAAAGAAATTCTACTTTCAACTGTGCAGCAATTTTTGTCACGCATTTGTCACACAGAGGAAAACCCGCATATTTATTAGCAATATGGAACAAAACTCAAAACAAAATAATTTTGTAGTTAGTACACTGTAGAGTTTGTTAATTATGGAGGATACCGAAAAACATAAA